TCCTTTTAATATAATTGTGAAAGAAAAAATTTCTAAGTTAAAGAAAAATTATTGTGAGAAAATAAAATTAAAATTTGTTTGAAAATTGATTTCTTGGGAGTGTGAGGGGGAATGGTGGGCAAAGATGTGCAGAAGAGTAACACGGCACGGTTGGCAGATATACATATATAGTAAGGGGAGGGGAAATGTGTAGAGAACAGTAGGTGAGGGGGATGGGGTAAGGGGGGAAACTTGAGAGGAAGAGACTTCGGGTAAACCACTTACGTTTCAAAAAATCTGTTATTTTTATCATTTTGTAGAAGAAACATTTAATGATTTAGTTAGAATGCTACGATAAGATATCATAAACTGCCTTGAATGTGTGTGTGTTTGCACCCAATTGTGTGCATGTGTGTGGAACGAATTGTTGTGATCTTCTTAACATATACAAAGTTAATATAAAGTTTATAAAACAATAGGCTAATGATATAGAAGTAAATGTAAATACGTGTGAGGAATTTTTATACTGTTTTTAAAAAAACTTTATACTCCCATTTAAAATGAGAAATTACGTAAAAATCAATGTGATATTAGTGAAAAGAAGAGCCATAAAGTCACTTATTCAAAATTAAAGCTAATAAGAAAATATATTTTTTCTTAACTATATCTAATCCAGAATAAAAATTGTAAGCTTCACCGACAAACAAAGTAGTTAATTTTATAGTTACCTTTTGTTATATTATCCACATCAAAATATGGACATGGGACTTCATCTACGTGACACTTATTTTCAATTGTTTTTCTGACGTAAACAAACGGTTTTTCTTCAATTGTAAGAACTTTGAGATGAGTTGGTATAAGGAAACCTTCGGGTTTTGTTTTAACTTTGCCAGGCCAAGTTATTATTGAATCATTTATAGTAAGCTTCATTTTGTTCATTTCCTGAAAAAAATGTATAGATACCTTATAATAAGTCAATTATTTTAAGTTTTTGTCTTTTAATTACTATAAAATACTATAACTAGACTTAATATATATCGTACTTGATGATATGTGTCGATTAAAATATGACACGTTTAATGTAAAACATACCTTGTTTTACATCAAATAAGCTTTTTAAAGTGCAAGAAAAGTAGATTATACTGATCAGAAATAGTTGTTTAGCCAAACTTATATCCAACTGTTTGAGTGGGAGATTGTAAGACTAGTAATTTTTTTCCAACATAGATTCACTTACGAAATGTATGGGTTCTCACAGTATAAACGCAAAATACTCTTGAATAGTGTTCCACTACACACAAAAAACAGTTAATGATACATATTAATAAGCGTGATTTTAGAACTAAATTTGTTAAAAGGTAATAAAAAAAGATAATCTTCAATAAACTCTGTATGTTTGTATGAATTAAAATATAAATTCTAGTATTATTTGTCCTTATAGATTTGTGATGTGAAACGATAGTATAAGAAGGTTTCGTCCCATGCCATTTCATTAAATATGGTATTGGATATTAAAAAAACTTAAATCTAGCACGCATAAAAAAGATTGAAGCGTACGATAAATTTTTGTCTAACAAAAAAATTCTGCTGAAGAGTTCGAATTTAGCTGCCTAGATTGGCAGAGGGGGATCAAGTTATACCTGCATAAGAATACTTCTATATTATATGGTTGTATACATATAAATAAGTCACAGCTACGCCTTTAAAATCACTCGTTATTGTCACCCTCTCAGTCCCCATCAGATCACATTATTCCTAGTGTTACATCCCAATTTGATATAGACGAATCATATGATAAGTAAAAACACAATTCATCCGTCAAATTAGTACAAGACGTACTGTGTACATACACGAGCTCATATGACAAGTGGAGCTCATACGTCACTAATCAGCGTGGGTGTTTATTAGCATTAAGGTAAATATACATAATATGCTGGTATATATATAACACGACCAGCCTTGTTTTAAGAGCGCATGTATGTTTTAAAACTGTGTGCTACATGTATAAATAGTTAAATTGTATTGATAGTAGCTTACTTCCGCATTAATTATCCATTTCTAATAATGTATCCCAATTAAAAAATTGTAATTAACACATTGATTTATTTGATTTAAAATTAATTGTTAAGTCCCCGCAAGGATTAATTGCAGAATTTTTAACCTTATTCGTCATCCTCTAAGTTGTATTTGGCGTTTCTTTCATTACTGATGTGAATTTACATCATTACTAATCCAAAACTCTAAACCACAATTGTCAGAAAAATGAGATTAGTACTGTTGTTATGTTTCTTTCTTATACAGGAAACCATAACATAAAACATCATCGTGCAAGCCTACTGTTTAGCTGTCAACGCAGTCTGCAAGAACAACGCTCATTGATTGATCTAATTGAAGCAAAGGCCACTTTTACTTGCTCTGACAATATAAAAACGCACCACCAAGAGGAAAAATCGCTCTTTTAACGTCTGTCACCTGATCTCTGAGGTTTTAGTATATCCTTGATTCGCACGGCTCACGATTACCTTATACACGTAAGGCATAACCCGTTGGCTAAGGCATTTCAAGCGCATTTCAAGAACATCAACAGTATCAGACTACGCTAAGGAGCGAGGTACAACACAGAAGGTCCACGAAAGTACTTCCAGCAGTAGCAAAGAAGGCAGCAACCGCAACTTTTTTTTGGCCACGAACTTATTCGTGAAGTTTATTAAACCACTGAAAATTACTGCACGAAGTATTAGGAAACTCTGAAGTAGCAGTAACAAAAATCAGTGATAAATGTTGGTTATTTTTTAGTTATATAATTAATACTAAACCTAGTAAAAAAGATTTGAGTAACTTGAATTTAAAAAAATAACTATTTTAAATTGTTTTGATTAATAAAGACATTTATTAAAACTGTTCACATCATTTAAATAAAAGATCTTTACCAAACTAAAAAGAACAAATAATGCTTACGAGCTGAATTCTTAGAGATCCATGAAGGACACTGTAATAAAACGGTTCAGACCATTCTATAAACAAGTCTGGTCATAATATTAGCTCATTTTTCAGTAATTCTTCTTCTAGCTTTAAGTGAGCAAGCTTTCCCGCTCCCCTTACTCGCAACGAGCTCCATAGCAGAATCATATCTACTAAACCCCAATCACCTACACTCTCTCTATTTCTCTCAAATTACATAACTAGTTATTTATTTTATGGGATTAAATTTAATAATATTTTTATATTTAATTCATAGTTAATCTCTATCTTTTCAAAACATGGAATCGTTGGCTCACTGACGATCTGACGAAATTTAAAGAATGTATCATCTTAATAACCAGAACTATCAAGCCTTTCAAACTAGAATGATATCTTATTAAATTATTTATTCAGATAACTCCACATAGTTGTATGGAAAAACGAAGGTCTCGATCCCCCCCCCCCTACTCATGAGCTCATCCTCAGCTCTACCTCTGCCAACACTGATTACATCAATAACGTCACGCTCACATTTATCACATTTGCTCATACACTTATTTCTAGTCCATATTTAATATCCAAAACATAATTGTTCTTTAAAAATTAAGACAAACCATCCTTTAGTACCGCTTTCTTTAATAGCATAGTAGTACATGCAAGTGAATGTCCCTTCAGGACGTTTATTACACAAAGGTTTTTTTGACAGATATTATTCAAGCATTAAAAGTATACTAAAAATACTATAAGAAATACCCATAAAAAATTGCAAGTGGTTTAACTGTACCTTCTGTCACATATTTAATTTTAAAAATTAACAACTTAATGTGTAACCTACTTAAAAAATCACTTAAAACTGCATTTATAAGATCTGTATACACCGCCCACTAATTGTTTGTCAAAGTATCAACTCAATTACAAAGTAAAGATTTTGAAAGAAGAAAACGCAATGAAAATTGATTATTGTACTTACACAGTACGGAAAATTTTTTTTTAATTATGCAAATTATGAAAAAATGTAAGAAAATTGTATGAACAATAACTTATTTATTTCAAGAGTACCAAATAAATGATGATTATATAAATGTTAATTTATACGTATAAAAGTGTTACAAAGGTAATTCATCACATGGACGGAGCAAAATTAAAAAATTTTTCGACTGTTTACTTTGATGTAAGCTTTTTCCTTCATTATTCCTAATTATTTGATTGCTGATTAATTGGGTGCATCCAAAACACAAACCATAGATTTAAAAAAAAATCCAGCTACCTTGACATAATTGCTATTATTTAAAATTATTTCATTAAGTACGCTTACACTCATAAAATAATAAAAAATAATAGCAATTTAGTTGAATACGTAATAAGAAATAGGTTGCCTTCATCCAAACTGCCTACCCATCATCATAAATACAAGAACATCATTTTCTCTATCTAGAGACTAACCAAATTCTCCCAAGTCGTGAAACGCTTCTATTACATCTCTTTTGCGTATAATACTTTAACTACGATTTTATACTTATTTTATCCCACAACAAAACACATTAACGATCTTTTTCCGAAATTTCTTCACTTATTTCTTTTAAAAACTTTCTTCCTGTCTTTCTGGGTGATAATTTTAGTTCATTAACCCATTTAATTTTTTTATTGACGAACGCAAGGCAATGCAAAATGTTTTTTATTTCGCAAGTAACAGTATGTTTTTTACTGTTCAGCCATTTTTAACGTCTGACATGATTTATTTACATTGTAAAAAGAGTACAAAGCATTTTCATTTAATTTTTAAAAGTTTTAAAAAATTGCTTTTTTTTGTGCATTTCGTAATTTTTTTTTTTTTTTTTTCTAAGTTAATAATATTGTTTTTTTTGCAAATTTTTCTGTAATTTTTGATAACTTGATTTCAAAACTAACAATATTGCAGAGTTACGTTGGGCCATTTTTTCACTTTTTTCTTTAGATTTAATACTTTCCAGTATTGGATAAAGTGTGACGATACATTGCTAGGACTTGTTGATGCTACAAAACTTGACAAGAAAATAGCTAACTTGAATGAATCACTAAAAAATTAAACTGTAACCATTAGCGCATGTCCATACAAGATCTGTTTTTTGTTGTTTTATCTCCTGACATGTTACCGTGGAAACTTGTGACATAGGTTAACAAATGTATTTTTTCTGCTCTGCGTGAAATAAGCCGCGTCGATTGGCTATTACATTTAAAAGGCGTTTAAATCAAATCTGTGATAAACTGCATAGCAAGAAATTTGGTGATATACTGTGCTCTGTTTTTAAAGTTGGTCTGCCGAAGGTTGACAGTAAAAAAAATTAGGTTCAATACAGTATAAAATGTGATTTAATGTGTCAAAAATTACTTTTGTTGATATTTGGAAAACAAATACATAAATAAATTAATTGATTAAATTTTAAACTGGAGAAATCGATACTTGAAAAAAGAATATTTAATCAGTTTAATTTTTTGTTCAAAAGCTTTTTAGGCTTTGTAAAACTTTTTACGTGTCTTACAACAGAAAATCTTGCGTTCACGTAGTCTACCCTTTAAAATATGATAGTCAAGACGATGTTAAAATCTTCCCCATAAAGCACAACAGCAGCAAAAACAACAATTTTTTCATTTTTCAAGAAAATTTTTTACAATTTTTGTAACCATTCTTATTCACAAGAGCTCTTTAAAAAACATGGGCCCCAAATTTTTTTTCATAAAATTAATTACGCAGTGTACCCAAGTGTTGAAGCAAAAGCGTTACGCTGGAACAACGCTCACATGTAGTACTTGCAATTGAAAAATTACACTTAATTATCGGCTTGTAAGCCGAAGCCAGTGAACAACTTAGGACTTAGGTCAATGCTCGTATTATCAGAACGTTCTTTTCCAATTTTTAATTAATAACTGTCGCTTTTCAATTCATTAGATTTTACATGTTTCTTTTTTTCTCATTTAAAATGCATTTTTGTTATTAAGTAGCA